TAAACTGTGTAGGGCTGTCAAACTAATAATCGTGATTAATCATGTACATAATAAATGTTTGTGTTTACATATATAAATACACACACTTAAATAAATTTCAATTATTCATTTATTTTGGACGTGATTAATCATGATTATTCGTTTGACAGCCCTACAACTATGTTGTAATCATGAAGTAAGATAAAAAAAAAATTAATGAAATTACTATTCATTCATAAAAAAAAATCTACTTATTAGCATCATTAAAGTGATGACAGTACAATTATCTTTATAATTAAAGATATCTAAAAATATCGAAATAATATCAAAAAATTAAACAACAACACCAAAATACACACACACACAAATTAAACAAGTAAATTTACTACATAAAATGAGTGACCAGAGCATTCAAACTCCATATATACATAAATAAATAAAAAACATGAAAGTAGTGACCACAGCTGATAAAACTAATTATATAGGAATAAAATATAAAATAAATAACCATGAAAAATTACCAGAGCTGATAAAACAAATTAAATAAAAATGAAATTATTAAATAATGATGCAAAAAAATTATACTAAAAAAATATATTTTAAAATCTATTCAAATAGAAATCAGCCATTTTAAATCTTAATAATAGTTTACAATATTACTGCATTTACTGTGTTTTTCATTAAAAAAAGTACAGCCTTGATAATTAAAAGACTTCTTTTAAAAGCATTAACAATACTCACCCCAAATAAAATTATTACACGCACGCACACACACACACACACACACAGTGTCATAATGAGGGGGAAAAAAACTGTATCACTGTATATATATCACTGATCTATAATAGATAATTTATATTTCATACAGTAGTTGTATGTAATACATATAATGATGCAAATGCAATAACAAATGCAAACATATGTGATATATAATATAGACACATGGTGGCGCTGGGAGACTGTTTCCCTCCCCAGTCCACACTGCTGCAGACCTCAGAAACACAGAATGACTCATCAGCCTAAACTCCCATGAGAACACAGACATCAGACTTACTCTTACACTCGTTTCTGAGACATGCAGACCTGTGTGTGTTTCAATGAACAGATTTGTAAAAATGAAATACGATGTAAGAACAGTAAATCCAATTGACCGACTGAATGCAAATTCAGCTAACATACATGAAGCCAGTATACTGTATAATGCATTACAACTGTGAATACCTTCATGAAAGGTATTCATGGAATGTAATGCATTAAATGTTTGCAAAACTTGCAATCAGGCATAATACATTGGAATTCAATTACGCTTTTAAAGAGCATAATGATTTATAAAAGTGTTATGCTATACAGATTGTTTCAAAGCAGCTTCACAAGCAGAAAATTAACAGTTAATGTTGCAAAATCCATCAGTTATGAGAATGAACTGACACATACAACCATCTGATTTAATGCACCACACTTTTTAAAGCTATAACCACAACTGTTTACAACTGTGAACACATGACTGATTATAAAGCATTACGCATATGCACATAGGCTCATGTACACATTATCCAAATTCATTATTCATTATTACAGATCATTAGCCAAATGATGTGTTTGTTTTAATTTCTGCCAGGTGGGAGGTTCAACACACACACACACACACATTTCACTCTCTGGAGATCTGAGGGGCTTTTCATGAGCAAGAAGATAAAAGTAACTTGTGCACCATATTGACTTGTGTCTTACATTTGAGCAGTAATTTGGCAGTTCCTGGAGAGACAGAGAGTCTCTGTTAGTGTGCAGAACGCTGATACACATCTAATTATTACTATAACAGATGGGAGACCTGTCAGCATATGCTGGAACAATATTATAATGCTAACGAAAACACTGGGCGAGATTAGACGTTCGCCTCTGATTTTATTGCTAATGATTTCTGTCAGCACTTCTGTTTATTCATCGTAATGGATGATATTTCAGATTGTTCCTTACAGATCTTTTTTCCTATAAATCTCTCTCTTTCCTGTATTCAGAGCCAGAGACAGTCTGGTTGGCAGTTGCTCCAGGTGTTGTGTTGTTTTTCATTTGCATTAAACAGAGTCTGGATCTGCAACGCAGTCAATTAAGAAGATAGAGTCTAGCAGTCTGGCTTACACTGGTTTTTGAGAACTACTCTCACAGCATAATTTTATTTTTCTCCATCCGTGTTTACATTTAAAACTGCTGCAGTGCTTCAAAAGCGGAGAGGTTTCTATATCACAACTCAAACTGACAAATTAAGTGGGTTTTATTCTGCAGAGGTGTAAGAGTTCTCTTATAGTCTCAAATGAATGTTTATTTTCTTTTGAGCTCACTGATTTGGTCAAAAGTGAAACATGTTTAAAAAAAAGTTTCAATTAAATGTTGTTCATTTTGAATTTTTGAATCCTGAAAAAAATATCATGGTTTTCCCAAAAATATTAAGCAGCACGACTGTTTTCAACATTGATAATAATAGTAAATGTTTCCTACATTTAAAACTGCTGCAGTGCTTCAAAAGCGGAGAGGTTTCTATATCGCAACTCAAACTGACAAATTAAGTGGGTTTTATTCTGCAGAGGTGTAAGAGTTCTCTTATAGTCTCAAATGAATGTTTTATTTTCTTTTGAGCTCACTGATTTGGTCAAAAGTGAAACATGTTTAAAAAAAAGTTTCAATTAAATGTTGTTCATTTTGAATTTTTGAATCCTGAAAAAAATATCATGGTTTTCCCAAAAATATTAAGCAGCACGACTGTTTTCAACATTGATAATAATAGTAAATGTTTCCTGAGCAGCAAATCAGCACATTAGAATAATTTCTGAAGGATCATGTGACACTGAAGACTGGAGTAATGATGCTGAAAATTCAGCTTTGATCAGGAATCAATTCAATGTTACAATATATTTAAATTGATAACAGTTATTTTGAAGTAAAAATATTTTAAAATAGTAACTGTATTTTTGGTCAAAGTAATGCAGTCTTGATGCATATTTTTTTTTTTAGAAAAAACTAAAAGAAAAAAAATGATTCCGATCCCAAACTTTTGAACAGTGTAGTGTACCTGCCAAAACTACAGTAAAGTGACCCTCTTACAACAGAGACTATTGGATAAAATATATGGAATAGTTAAATATGGTTAAAACAATGAACTAATTAGGATATAAATGTCTTGAATCATATAGGCCTATATTAACAAAGCCACAAAGAAAACAAGAAATCTCATTTTGTTTCTCTTGTCTAATCTATCTCATTTTGCCTATAGTCTCTTCTCTCTCTCTCGTCTCAACTGGAATCGTTTGTATAGTGCTCTTCTCAATACATATTTTTCCAAAGCTGCTTTACAAACAATAGCAGCTCACAAACCCTCTAGTAAGCAGCCAAAGGCAACAGAGTCAGGGAAAAACTCCCTAAGATGTTGAATGAGATGAGAAAGAAACCTCTGGAGAAAACCTTCTCCTCTGACTGATACTTAAAATCTCATCTCTTCTGTTTTCTCTAATCTCTTCTTGTCTCCTCTCTACCACAGCAGAGGTCATTATAACCTATACACTGTACATATGACTCTTAAAGGGATAGTTCACCAAAAAAATTCTGTCATCACTTACTAACACAGAATGTGTTTCCAAACCTGTACGAGTTTCTTCATTTATAAGGAATCAAATAATTTCAGGAATCAAATAATTTACTCCAAAATTAAAAAGAATAATGGACAATAAGAACAAACAAAGAGGCAAAGTCCTGACTCACTGGAGCACTCACCATCAAAGAATAAAAAAATAAAAAAAAGCTCAAAGCTCAAGTGAGTTAAAAACAACACTGAGAAAACACTACCTAAGGATAGCCTTCTGTTTACAAAAGAAATCTTTATGTAAGGGATAACCCATGACTTGGTGGAAGCAAAGAATCTCAGTAAAGAGCATTAAACTCATTTAATTCACACCTAGCCGTGGATTAACCCGCTTCCAGCAAGCTTTGC